GCTAGAGTGCTTCTCGCGCTCGCGCATATGGTTGTCGCACTCGCGACTTGCGTTTTTGGTGCCTGTTGAGTCTTCTGGTATGTAAGTTGTGCGCGCGGCCTCAGGTAGCGCTCGCGACTAGGCTTTCTTCTTGTTGCGACCTCCTTCGCGTCGCGAAGGCTGGTTTAGGAACTTCTTCTATTTTTAATCAACTTTTTGGTCTTTTTTCTATATAAAGCAAGCCTTTCCTTGTCCATTGTGTTCCTTATAATTCACTGATAACAAAACTTTGAAACAAAAACAACACGAACAAACATAAAATATATAAAAACATCATGCATTCATGCAAATTATATGAAAATAACATAACAAAATTTGCCCGCTTTGCGAGGCTATCAATAAAAAACACACAACTCTCACGAATCGAGCTTTTAAGAGCTCTGATACCACTTTGTTAAAGGAAGAGGACTAAATAGTAGGAATATCAACTAACACTCAAAATAAAACTTCATTAATATTTTCTTAAACACACTCACTTATCTTACAAACTCTATCACATACTCTACACACACAAACTCTATTTATAGAGCAAACACCGTATAATTTTGTGGTTTATAAACAATCACCATTACATTAAACAAAAACCACACGCTTATACCTAAAACAGCCCATGCTTCCATACTCAACTCACAACCACATATTTTACATATTTTACAACCATTACAATCTTCTTTTGTCTGCCACATACATTATTATTCAAGTTCTAATTTGAAACACCCCGTAATTTTATTTTCAAAACTATAGAATTTTTATTAAATCAAAAATCTGAATTTTTGACAGTATGGGCCGTAAATATTGAACAATCTTAATTTGAGTCCAAGTTTTGCGAATTGGGCCCAAGCCCAAATATATTGTTGAAAATTTTGAATTGAGAACAGTTAAGTTTTCGAGAAAGAGTATGAAACTCCAGCAATTAATCTATTATGTATATATATATATATAAATTAATTTTCCTAAAAATCAAATATGATTACTAATTATATTTTTGCTTTATTTAGTTAATGGAGGAAACGTTATGAAACCTAATTAAAATAATCAAAATAAATCGAACTGAACCCGAAAATCAAATTGATTTTTCGAAAACCACACAAATAGCTTGAAAACCAAGTGAAAAACCTGCAAACCGAAAAAAATGAAGCCAAATCGTTGAATTAGATCAAACCGGTTCGAATCGAACCGGAATGATCTAGAAACTGACTTAGTTTCTTTTTTTCCTTCCTCTCTTCTTCTTCTTCTTCTACGTCTACGCGTGCGACAGCCCCCTCTTCTTCGTAGGGACTGCGATTCCGACCACCGCACGACGAGCACTAGGTGGCAGACGACTCACCTTGTACCGCTGACTAAGTTTCCAGCCTCCTCTCACGCGAATAAAGCTCCAGCGGCACGATCAAACCTGTCTCCGCAACCCACACCTGCTCTTCAATTTTCCGGCGAAATCTCGCCGCTCAATGGATATCAGGTGTCGGGAAGGGGCTCAAACGACTCCTAGTCACCTCCGAAATGTTTCCCATCTATTAACTTTGAAGATGGAGCCCGTATGGCTGAAGTGCCATTGAAGGCGGTGATGGAGCGACTGTCGAGCTTGGTTCTGACCGATCGGCTCACCAAATGCACAAACGAAGCATGGATCCGAATTCCTGGTGAATTTTTGGGTTTGGGGGTATAAGCGCTGCTCAAATCCAACAGAGGCACAATTTTTCGGCCACCGTGAACGGCGGCCGCGGCAGCGGTCCGATGACCGGCAGGCAACACTCCGGCGAGGCCCCGAGAGACAGAATTCTCTTCTCTTCGTGCTGATCACGGAATCGTAACCCGATTCTCAATTGGTATGCTCTAAGACTCAATTCTCAATTTTTGTATATAAAGAATTAATTGATTAATGAATTTAATTGAGTAATTAAATAGATTAAATTGAATAATAAGAAATTAGGTAGATTAAATTGGGAATAATTGAATAATAAGAAATTAGGTTATTGGAATAGCTTATATATATATATATATAGAACATTTATAGTCTTTTGTAAATAAATTAGATTGGTTAGTGTGCGGTAATTGCGATAGCGAATATGATTAATTAATTGGTTTAGGATTTTAGAATAATGTAATTGCAAATTAGTTTAGAGCATTGTCAAATAAATTACATGAACTATAATTATAATTAGGAGGTTTGATATTGAGATAAGAATTTCTAACTAATATTTATGTAAGCTAATTTAGGTATTTTAATAAGTATCGTTAGGAGGAGTTATAATTTAAGGCTTAGACAAGTAAATAGTTTTAGAGCAATTAATAATATCATGGAATCATGCTTGGAGGTTAAGATAATTTGTTAATTAATTAATTTGGAATTAATAAGTGTATATATGTGAATGTGATGGATGATATATGTAGTCTGAAGCAGATGGGTTGGTTGAATTGATTGATCGAATAATTGATAAATAAGGTTATGGTGGATGGGATGAGTTGATTTGAATTGCCCGACGGATGGGCTTTGATATTGCGTTTGATATTAGTATCGCTGAATTGTGGTTTAGTTTTAATTTTTAGGAGTTGCTGCCGTAAAATTTTCAATAGAACCTTAGGGGACTAGTCTCTATTAATAAACAAGATTAATAATGTTATTTTTAGATTAATTTGTATAAGCTTGCATAACTATAAAATAATGTGCCCCAAATTATTTAATTATTATCATTATTATATTATTATTCGTTTAATTATTCAATTATGTATTTATTTTATTTATTATTATTTATTTATTTATTTATTTATTTGCATTTGAGTATGGATGCCTAATTGTGCATTGCATTACGATGTTTAATTGATCCGCATTTAATTGCAATGCTTGATTAGTTGTGATGTGACAATGCTTTGCCATGTTTGTGTGGGATTGGGATGAAGTGGGTCACTATGGGACTGTGAGGACAGTTTACCGTCGGCCATGTATGGGGAGATTGGCGCCCCCGTGTGCACCTACCGTTACTGTTACCGTTAACCACAGGGTGGCCTCCTAATGGTATGGAAAAGAAAAGAGAGAATGGAAAAAGATGGAAAAACAATGAGGAGGGCTGGTCAAGTTGAGGGGATTAGAAGCGGTCGGCCATTGTATGGGGATCGGCCTCCCTGCGTGTACTCGTTATGAGAGGCTGGTCCATGTGGATTGACGCTCACCGGGGGTTTTGGGTGACGCCACAGTACCAATTTTCACGTTGATGTGATTATATAAGATGTTAATGATGTGAGTGGGGTGATTTGCCATTTGTTGTGGACTTGGCTGCTGTGAGCATATCTCTCGGAATTGACTAAGGATTGATCATGGCTTGCACATTTGTCATCGGCTTCTGTGACTGCGTGTGTTTGGGCCAATAATTATTATCCTTAGAACTCACATGTCTTGTTTAATCTTTCAGGAAGTAAGTTTTCTCTTTAATTCTGGTTTCAGGCTATGTTTCTTCGCTGCATGGCTATAAAGATGTTTTCTAGTCTCTATATATTATTTTTACTATTGTAACTATATGTTAAGGAAGCTATGTATATAATAGGTAGTGACTTCCGCAGAAGTTATAGGATTTACATATATTTCAGTCACTGTATTAACACGAGACGAATAAATTCTGTGAGCCATATTAGAATGTGATGTATTGTAATTGGACCCGAACTATGGGAATGTTGTAGAAGATAAACTTGGCCGAGAAATAATAAAATCTTGGTTTATTTTTCATAAATTCATATGGGTCTTGGGCCGAGAAATAATAAAATCTTGAGGTTTATTTTTCATAATCATATGGGCTGAATGTTGAAATTTATACTGAGATAATAGATTCTAATGTTTCAAGCTTACTACGGGCCTCGGAGGCCTTAAGCTTACTTGGGCTCTAGTGCCGGTCTGACCCACGGAAACGGGTCGTGACATAATTTGTCTATTCTTATTGTTATATTGCACCATCATGTGCATATCAAATCATTGCCCCTCCTTTTATTTTTTTTATTTTTTATTTTTTAAATTAAGTTTATTATTTCAACAGTTCTTTCTATGAAGTAGCAGAAGGATTTTGTTTCTCTCTCTTCTTTTTGAACCAACAGAAGAGGAAAGATGACAAAATGATACCTCCAAGAAAAAGAGCACAAGCTATGATGATCACTAACAAGTGAAACCAAGAAATCTTATGCTTTCGCAGGCACCTTTGCAAATGCAACTGAGAGATGCCTCCACAAAGCCTGTCATTTCCAACAACTGACACTTGACTCCCATTTGAGAAAACTCCATTCTTTGGAACCTCACCCTCGAAATTGTTATAGGACAAGTTTAAAAATATGAAAGGAAGTTTTTCAAGAAAATTTGGAAATTTTTCTGAAAGATTGTTATGAGAAAGATTGAGATATTGAATACCCTGTAAAGAACTAAATGATGAAGGAATGGATACATGGAAGAAATAATTCTCCATGTATAATTTTTGAAGACTTGAGCAAGCTCCAAGACCAGTAAGAATTTCCCCTTACAGCTTATTCCAAGAAATATCCAATTCCCCTGAGCCTTTCAAATTACCAATAGATGAAGGCAAGGAACCAGTAAATTGGTTATGAGCTATCACTACAAAAAAAAATAGAGATTTAGCGACAAAAAATACCGACAAAAAAATTTTGTCGGTATTTAGTGATAAAATACCGACATAATGTAAATTATTGAAAATTAATATTATTTGAAAAATAATACGACAAAATTTTATAGGTATTTTATTGCTAATTAGCGACAAAAAAGTGTTTTTTGCTAATATATTGGTAATAAACGCCCCAGATAATGGCGCCTCAATTTATCATCAAAAATTCCGACAACAACAGTGACAAACTTTAATTCATGAGTTATCGGCAAAATATTACTTTAATTCATGAGTTATCGGCAAAATATTTTGACGGTATTTTTTTTTTACCGATAAAAGAGCTATAGACTGTATTATCAGTAAATTGTTTTAGAATATTTCAAAAATAACAATAATATTAGGGTTAATGTAATTATGTGGCGCCTAATTCTCAATTTCCCCTCCTTTCCTCTCTTTTCTCTTGTTCCCGTTTTTCCTAGCCTGAAACCTAGCTACAACCACGATTTGAAGGGATTTCTGGTATTGTCACCGCCGACCGAGCCTCAAATGCCGCAGTAAGACGCCGATGGAACATTGCATGTAGTTATCCATCTCCTTTCATTGAGTTGCAGGTACACAGTTACTTTACTTAATCATCATTGCCGTTGTAGAAATTGGTTTCCGTTGTTTAGTATTTAACCTTGGTTAATGGCTGTGAATGATGCCAATGTTTAAGTAACTCTCTGTCTTTCTGCTAGAAATATTTTTCTTTCTACTAAATCTAACAGACGATTCGATTTACCATTAATTCAGTCATAGTTGATCTTTACTTCTTCTTTTCTTTTCTTCCTTTTCTTATCAATAAAGTAAGAAAGAAATAACATTGATTTCTTGTATAATTTGATTAATTAGCCTACTTTCCTTGAGTCAAATGATAATCTTTTCTAGTTTCCTTTGGCAACAAATATTCAGGATGAGTTATGCATTGCACAAGGCAGGCAGACCAATTCTTTACTCCGTATGTGAATGATAAGTAATTACTTAATTTCCATTTTCTATTTATAGGATATTGAAATATTCAGTATATCAGATTAGAAATTTTAAGCAAACCAACATAAAATGTGATGGGGGAGAAGAGTATCCTGCAAAATGGGCTAGCCAATATGGTAATGCCTGGAGAACTATAGGGGACATCAAAGACAGCTGGGAAAGGTACTGCACTACTCTTTCTGGGCACTTAATTTTTGTTAAGTAAGTTGAGGTTTTGTAGTTTTTTGTTTGTTGTTTCAGTGTCACATTAATTGCAGAGGAAAACAACATTTGGGGAAGATATGCAGGACCTGGGAGGTGCAATGGTAACAAAACACTTTTTTTTAATCACTAGTAGTTAATTGATAATTTAATGATCCAGTTTAAAATTATTCTTATGATAATATGTAGTAGATCCTGACATGTTAAAAGTGGGCAATGGAGGGATGGGCTTGTCCTTACATATTTATTGTTGCTTTTCCTTATAGTCTTTTTCATTGATTCACTATGTCTTCACTTTTCCTTGTCTTTTTTATTTTGTTCTTGTTTTAATAGTCTATAGGAGCCAATGGTTTCGAGGATAGATTGTTTTAGAAGAAATGATATATTGAAAATAGTTTTGATACGATGGAAATTGAAGCTTCTGCAATTTATTTATTCTGTTATATATAACTTTCTACATGTGTATGCCTTTGTATATCAATTTTTAGGGCAATTTGTTCTGCTTTTCTTAGTGTTTTTCAAGTGACAATTATTTCTTAGAAGATTTTATTATACTTCTTTTCAAGTTAATTGACATTGTTGATCTAAACTGCTTTTGCAAACCCAATATATGCTTGATCAGCTTTCTGATCTTCAAAACAAGGTATATGCAAGTGGAATTAATCATATCATAATTCACCTTTATTATGTTTCTTCCGATAGTAGCTGACTACTATTTTGTATACAGGAACTATTGTTGCTGGAAGCTAACAGAGCTTTACTAATAAAGGTAATACTTAACCTGCATTGTTCAAATTGAATTACATTATTATAAAAATGAGCATAATTAATTATAAAAATGAGTATTATTGGGTGTAATTGGAGATTATACAATTAATCACCATATTTTATATAATTATTTATAAATGTTTTATTTTTGAATTTGCAGGCAATTATTTATGCAACTGAGAAAGGATCAAGTTGCTTTTTGAGCTATGCAAATAGCACAACAGATGGTACCACTGTGTTTCAATACTTAGAATACAAAATTCAGCTAACATGTTTATTGAATTAATTTACGCGATATTATAAATATATTGAAGGTATATTAGGGTATGTGGTGTTGAATTGGAATTTTTGATTATTACAGTTTTTGATGTTATATTAAAATAGGTTAATTATGTAAATTTAGGAAAAATGTTTTATTTTTGAAATTAGCGACAAAATGGTGTTAAATTAGCGACAAAATAAATTAATTTTATTAAAATAACAAATAAATTTAACAACAAAATAAAGACAACTTACCAATAAAATAATGACAATAATAACGACAAAATACCGATAAAATTAGAGACAAAATTCTGTAAAAATACCTTCAAAATTTGTCTATTTTATTTAATAAAATTACCGACAAAAAAATTACAAATTTAGTGACAAAAATTTTACCGATAAAATTCGATTTTGTTGCTAAAAAATAGCAACAAGCGTTTTAGCATCAAAATATTTTTGTCGTTATTTTGATGGTAAAAAGTAATTAGCGTCAAAATATTATGAATTAGTGACAATTTTTGTCGCTAATTTATTTTTTTCTTGTAGTGTATATTTAGCGAAATTGAAAAGGACGAGATTTTAAAAAGTTGTTCTGGTATGCTACCAATAAGGTTATTATTAGAAGGATATAATGACAACAAATTTTTGCAATTCTCTAGACTTTGAGGGATATTTCCTTTCAATGTGTTGTAATCTAAATATAAGTCACTCAACCTAGATAGTTTCTAAAAGAAGATGGAATATTTCATGAAAGAGCATTGGCATAAAGTGCCAATCGCTGTACATTTTGAAGTTTACCAATAGAACTTGGTATTGTTCCAGTGAATTCATTTGGACCAAATCTAGTAGAGTTAAGCTAACTAGATCACCTATACCTGCAGGAAGACTTCCGGATATATGATTACCTGAAACAGCAAAATCAATCATATATCTTGAAATATTGCCTACAATATTAGGCAATGACCCTCCTAATCTGTTCTCAACTATTGTCATAACTGACAACATGCTGCATTTGATTAGAGAAACTAGAAAATTCATTTCATCAGCTTCTCCACGTCCTAGACTATTATGATCCAAACCCAAAAATGAAAGATACTGTAAGTTTCCAAATGTATTCAATATTTTTCCGAAAAAATTGTTTGATGACAATATAACAAGTTGAAGATCAGAAGCATTGGTTAATGATAATGGAATTGGTCCAACCAGTTGGTTATTGCGGACATCTAAATGTTGGAGATTAGGGAAAAAAAGCCCTAAATCCTGCAAAAGGGTTCCATGCAATTGACTATCACCCAAAGAGAAAATAGTGAGCAATGATAGGTTATATAGTGATGGAGGCTCCACACCAGATAGTTTATTCCCTCCAAGCCCCATTGTAGTTAAGCTCTTCAACTGGCCTATATTCTCTGGAATTTATCTTTTAAAGAAATTTTCAGATGCAGAGGAACTTTCTAGAGAAGAAAGGTTCCCAAAGGAGTTGGGGATCTCTCTGTTCAGATGATTCTCATAAACTGATAGCATTTGCAACTTTGATAAGAAGCCGAGTTCTAAGGGAATTTTTCCTGTCAACTTGTTGTTGCCAACAGATAGATTTATGAGATTAGTGCAATGAGACAAATTAGATGGAATTTGGCGTTTCAAGGAATTATTAGTCAGTTTTAAAGCTTGCAACCTAAAAAGGCGACCAATTTCAGGCTGAATTTGACCATGAAAAGTATTGTTAGACAGTGTTACCTATCGAAGAAAGCTAAGATTTCCTATAAAAGGAGACAATGGACCTACCAAATCTCTAGACATTAGACTTATCATGGTGACTCTCTTGTGTTGCCTGCTACACGCAATGCCTAGCCAATTGCAAAAATGTTGAGAATCATTCCATGAGTTCATAACTCCATGAGGATCTTGAGTAATTATTGATTTGAAGGCTATCAATGCCTCATAATCTGTTTGGTTTCCTCGTATGGTGGCGGCAGCTGCCGATTGGAAATAAGATCTTGAATCAAGTAGCAATCTCCAATGGAAGAGTGTAATGAGTGCAAAAGCAAAGGCCTCTGCACAAAATGAAAACGAAGGTGATGATAGACTTATGTTTTTGGGGGTGGGTATATGGTTATTTACTATGTAACTTTCAGTTCTCAGCTTCAGCAGCTGATATATATATATAGTCACCAAGACCTTTTTTTAATCCTTTTAGCATAAAAACTCTCATAAAAAAGGAAGTAATTACAAATTCATAAAACAATGTATATATTAAAAAAAAAAAAAAAGGTTGTTCGAGTCAATCTTTAGTCTCCGATTAAAATGACCAATGTAAACAAAGACAAAATAAAAGAAAAAATATATGGTTGTAGACATTGTGGTAACATTAATTGTCCGTGAGAGCGATGGACAATAGAATTTTAGTGGTGAAGACAGTTTTATTTTGAAATAAAAAAGAGAGAATTTTTGTGTGCCTGCAATGTAAGTTCTTGCTAGTTTCTAACTTATCTGACTTGTCAGTTCAACACATCAATTGAGTGCATCAAGATTTCCATCCACGGCAACCTATCCGTCTGATATTTCTCAAAGCTTGACAATTAGCCATGAAGCTTCTATTTGGACTTGGAAGGTTAGGACCATTCCCTTAAACTCCCAGTACACCAATAAAAGAAATTTATTTAATAGGGTTGCTTTCCTTCCTCTTGGACCATTAATTACGTACCTACCATTACGTATCCAAGTTCAATTCATTACTATTGTTTATTTTCTACAATGTGTTTTGGACAGGAAGTGAGGTCTGAATCCAGATGTCTAAGACATTCTCTAAAACGACCAATAAAATCAAATTAAGGCATATGGTTCACAAACATATGGGTTTTGTTTCCTAGAATTCATAAGAAGCAACTTCATAACTTACAAGTGTAATTTGTTTACAGTAATTCGACTTCCCAGTTCCCTCTTTAATAGGAAGTAAGTATCCCTGAAATATGATCTCAAAATGCATTTCCATAACAAAATGTTAGGGCCTGGTGATAAAATTACGAGAATAATTATGCAACGAAAAAAAATATGACACACAGAAATTTACGTGGTTCACCCTTAACTGTTTAGGGTTACGTCCAGAGGACCAATTCTGGATATTTCTTTCACTATTAAAAATAGTAGGCTTACAAAAAGAGTATTACAAAAATAGTGTCATTCAAAAGTGTTTTTCAAAAACACTCCAATTATCCTCACTATTTTTCCCTACCCTAGTTTTAGGACCCTTACTAAAACTAGATAACTCTCTCCCTCTCAAACACAGATTTTTCTTTCTCTTCTATGTTTGTTCTTCTTGTTGGTGTGTTGAAATGAACTGAATCATCTCGTATTTATAGGAGAGGTGGATGTGTTAATCACGCGTCCACCAAAAAATAAATCGCATCCACCGAAATAAAATTATCTTCTCTTCTTTTATTTTCAAGTTGTGTGTGTTCCATATGTCGGAGGGACCCACCACATTTTCTTCTTCTCTTCCTCCTTTTTTTTATTTTCAAAAGTGGGTCCCACTGAGTGAGCACCGCCACAACAAATCTCCCCCTGCACACTCAAGTGGGCACGTTAGCCATACCGGCTATCTTTCTGCAAGTGACAAGCTTCTCCGTAGGTAAAGCTTTAGTCATCATATCAGCGTCATTATTATCAGTGTAAATCTTTTCAATCTGAAATAACTTCATCTCCAGTGCATCACGTATCCAATGATACCTTACATCAATGTGCTTTGACCTTGAATGAAAGGGTCGAATTCTTACTGAGATGTATTGCGCTTTGACTATCACATAGCAGAATGTACTTCTCTTGTTTTACACCCAATTCTTGTAGGAATTTCTTCATCCATAAGAGTTCTTTGCTAGCTTCTGTAATGGCGATGTATTCCGCCTCAGTGGATGAGAGTGCAACAAATTTTTGTAATTTCGATTGCTAAGAAACCGCTGCTCCTGCAAATGTCATCAGATATCCAGAAGTTGATTTGCGCGAATCAACATCACCACCCATATCTGCATCTGTGTAACCATCTAATACAGGTCTATTATCACCAAAACATAAGCAGATATAAAGATTGTTGGATTGCCTTAAGATAGGCCTGAGAATCCATTCACTGCATTCCAGTTGTTCTTTACTGGATTTGACAGAAATCGCTAACAACATAAAGATGAGCAATAGTCCGTCTATGCAATACCATGGCGTACATAGCTGCCAACGGCGGGATGCATAAGGACTCTTTCAGTTTTCCTTTTTTCTTTCTCACTTGAAGGGTCAATTGATTGAGACTTAGTTTGAGATGACCTGCAAGCGGAGTAAAACTGGTTTTTCGCATTGCTCATGGTTAAATCTGCTGAGAAGTTTCTCGATGTACTGTTCTTGAGATAGCCACACTTTCATCTATTTCCTGTTCTGAGAAATATTCATTCTGATAATCTTTTTAGGCCGATCCTAAATCCGTCATGAGCAAAGGATTTTCCTAGCTCCTTTTTCAGCTCTCAATTTTCTTGCATCATGTCCCAAATTTTGCATATCATCAAATTGAACAGGAGAATGATAAGCTGCTCTATCGAACTTTTTTCACAAATAAACATGATACAGAAAGTGAGTTTTCTCATACCTGGGAATTTAACAGAAGAGTAACTTTTTGTACCAACTATCTGGGAGTCTTGTTTGGGCGCATGCAGTTCTTTTGCATTTACACCAGCGTGTTCTTTGCTTTAAACTCTGAAACCCTATTTATAGCTTGCTCCATATAATTTCAGCACTCTAAGACATGGAGGGAAAGCGATCTTTACATTCAAGTTGCATAACCAATTTCAAGCGTAGTGCTAAACTGAGAACGAATCTGATAGAGAGAATGCTTGGACTACGGGTGGATGACCGAATCCCTTCACAACCAGTCTTGCCTTGTACCTCAGCTATGAATTGCTCTGTTCAGTCTTCAACCTGAACACCCATTTGTTTTTCAGTGCCTTCTTACCTTGAGACAGTTTCACCAACTCATAAGTCTGGTTCTCATGCAAGGACTCCGTCTCATCTTGCATGGCTTTCCACCACTCATTCCTTTTACAATCTTCCATTGCCTCCTAATAG